CCCCACTGAGGGGTGAAACCCAGCAGTCTGTTCTCCCAGATGATCCCTATATACCCCAAAGTTTGAGGGGAAAAAAAGATCCATTAGGCATTTGCTGTTTTGCTTGCAACTGTAAAATTCTCTGACCCTGTAAATGGTCTGTGCTCTTTCGTGGGCACGTTTGCATTAGAAAATCTCCACCTGGTATCTTGGGATGTGGTTCTGCATCCTTTCCATCATGGAAGACACTGCTCTGGTGAATGCTCTTTGGCCCAGTTGTTAAGACCCCCAACTGCTGACTTTATCCCCCACCCTCCTTCCCAAGGGGAATAGAGGAGAGAGGTAAATGCTCTTTAAAAATGCTGTAATTCATCTGGTCAGAGTTATTCTTAGAGGAGCCGCCCCAAACCCTAATTCACAAAGTGGAGGAGAGGCAGCTCACAGCCTGCGGCATGAAACAGGACCAGGCTAGTGATGGGGCCTCGGTCCCTGCTCAGGCAGAGACCCTCATTAAGGTCCCTCAATCCCGACCGTGAACTGCTTTTCTTCTGGACGGCAAATGTAGCTCAGCTGTTAGAGTTCAAGCTCCCTTTGTTTCATTAGTGACAAAAGGAACAGAGTGTAAGTAAGTACAGGAGTAAAGAGAATACAGTGAGACAGTAGACAGAGACCTCCAGGTGCCTTGAAAACCCCAGAGTGCTTAAGTGCACCTGATGAGTTCAATGTTACGTACACGAACACACACTACTTCCCTCTATTCCACAACACTGGGATAATCCCTATTCCCATTTTGCAGACAAAGAAGTGACTTGACAACCGGAAGCCACCTGGCCAGAGGCAGAGCTGGGGCCCGTGCCCAGGAATTCTATGATTCTCCACCGTCCCAGCTGCCTCCATTTTGGCATCAGAGATCACATCATTGTGGAGAATGCTTTTAATTATCACCTTGCCCAGAGCGTGGAGATTTATGGCTATGCTTTCCTCCGGCCTCATCTCAAGCACCCCTTTGGGAAGTAGAGTGATCATGATAGAATCAGGATATTTGCAGGCGTGGGAGGGAATGGAATGCTGATGTCACACGTTTGCTGCCCCTGGAGGCTCTGAGCGGGGGGTGGGGCTGTGGGTAAGGAGCAGACTGCTGAACGACCTGGCCAGGCAACCCCAGTGTCCTCGGCACCCTAAGTTGCCAAGGGTTCTCTGGGTTTACTTCCCCAAACTGGTGAATTCAGCTTGGCTGCCAAGTTTCTTCCTTTCAACTTTAGTTTCCCTGACCTCTGGAGTTAAGAGAAACTAAGTCAAAGCTAAGGGAAGCTGCTGCCCTTCTCCCTTTTAGGGATGTGCGCATGTGCGTGGGCACGTATAGCTTGAACGATACCCCCACGGCCACCATGCTGACATAAGGCTCACAACAAACTGGAGGCACAGAGAAGGGGAAACGCCATTTATGGCAGGAATTCACAGTGGTCCCCAGACCACAAGCTGCAAGTCTGAACGGTGTGCAGGTTGAAGGGTGTGGGGGAATCCCCGGCAATGGAGATAACTTTAACTTCCTCAAGTGGTCCTTTGCAGGGGGCGCGGTCCCCAGGGGTGCAGCCTGTACTTTCAGGCAGCAGACCCGCGGCGGGAGAGGGAAATGATGAACAAAACATGCTGATGCTAACAGGGTTATTTTCACTAGGGGAACTGGTTTGGTGGCACCAGGCAGTCAGTACACATCCGTGAAATATGAGTTCTTAAGCAAAGTAATTTCCTTTTTCCTTGAAGGCCATTGTTTTTCTACAAATGGGAAAGAACTATAGGCTTACTGAAAATGATTAGATTCAGCAAAGTGATCAAGACCACCAACTTGGTATAACTTGTTCCACATCTCAGATGTCAGTTGATACAAGACATCACAGCACAGAATGATGGGGTAACAATTCGGGATAATTAGGTTCCAGGCACGAGGCTCAGTACCTTACACACATTATCTCTATGAGGGAGGTTCCATCATCGTACCAGTTTCCTAGGGCAGGAAGTTGAGCTGCAGAGAGAGAGGGTGACCGCCTAAGGACACTCGGCAAGTGGCAGAGCAAGGAAGTGAACCCGGCAGTCTGACCAGTCCCTTCTTTCACGGTTTCTTTGAAAGTATCACAAGAATGACTGTCCACCTCCTTCTTTGGGAGCGCAGACTCATGGAGCCCCTCAAACCCCACTTTCTGGGTCCTCCTTTTCTTTCTCTCATTAAGTTGTGACACTGAATTTCTCACTCAGTCACCTGGGCCTGTCTGGAAAAGCACACTTGAGTCATGTTCTGTCCCTGTTGTTGGGAAATTCTTTGACATGTGATAGGTTTCTAGAAATTGATAATGAAGAAAAATCTATCTCCAGGTTCTGTAGATTTCCAACCGAAAATGTGTAAAATAACTTCAGTTGCCAAAATCGTGACTGGCTTTCCCACATGACTCCAATCCCACATCTGGTTTGCCTTCTTTGCCAGAAGCACAGGATTTATTTATCCTCTTTATATTTTAGGGTGTTTCTACATTTTATAACATTTCTGTATAGAATTGCTGTGTTACTCATCATTGCAACCCCATTCATAATTACATTATGTCTTGTATCACCATTAACGCTACAAAGAAAAATGAGCAGAAGGTGCACGTGACGGGGTTAGAGGAGCCCCGCAGGGAGCCGGCGAGTCCATTTCCTCACCTGTGGCGTGGAATGTGCGTGCGGGCCGGGCCGGGGGCCAAGGATTGTGGTTCGCTTTTGCATGCACTGACTGCAGCGTGGCCAGAAACGGTTCCAGGTGCTGTCCAAGACCAAATTCTCTCAGTTGTCTTTACAACAATATGAAGCTGGATACTGCGATGGCCCTGACTTTACAGATGACGAAAGTTTACCCACACTTGGTCAGCGAGCAAGTGAAGGAGACTGGACTCACGTCCGGACAGTGGGGCCCCGGGTTTCAGCCCCCGTGCGTCGGACAGGCCGCCAGGGCTGGGAATCCCTGCTCTAGCCGACTCCCGGGTCCACAGCCGAGTCTGACGTTTTGCACTGTATGTGCATTTGCGTGGATTCTGATAATGTCCTTAGCCAAGCAGGGCCCACAAAGTTTTTAAGACCTTACCATAGACTCATCGTGTTTATGAAACAGCGTAATGGTACAAACAGGAGAGTCACATATTCAGCAATTTTTTTAAAGTAGAAGAGTTTATCATCATTGTTCTGAAGGAAAGTGACATGCCTAAGGTCGCCCACTTAGTCACGGGTCAGCACTGGTACAAACACCCCTTCACAGACGCTGCAGGAGCCCCGGGACCTGCTGCTTCTCCCAGAAGACACCGCGGCCTCCCGCCTGCGCAGGCGCCTCTGTGCACAGCGCTGCACCAGGCCTGGGGTCCCGGCGGCCGCTGCGCAGCAGCCCTCGCTCTGCGTTAAAGACGGCATGACAGCAACCCGGCAGCAGCAACCCGATAACCACAAAATAAATGGCGGAAAAAACCTCTGGGTTTCAAAATTTCCTCACATTGATCATCAAGGGAAGGAAAGGGAGGGTTCCTTCTTGAAAGAGGCGAGTGCCTGCCAGCAGGAACCTAAACCATTATTACTCTGTTTTCTTTTTTGCAGGACTGAAAAGTGTTCCTATCCTCCCCCTTCCCATCCCTATCAAGAGCATATCCCCCAAGACAATCACAAACTTGAAAATCACTAACTCTGGCTTCAAAAAAAATTTTTTAATAAAAACTCAAAATCCCACAGTGGTCACAAAACAGCTTTGTGGGAACGAGGGGCAAGTTTTCTGTTAAGAGAGGCTAATTTCATCGGGTTGGGAAAAGAGAGACATGAGGGGGAAAGGGTGGGAGCACAGAAGAAGGGGAGGCGGGAGAGGAGGGGATAAAGGAGGAAGAATCGCTGGCTTTAAAAAGCAACATTGTCCAGAGAGGTGAAAGGGAACAGATGGCCGTGGAGAATGTGGCCCTCAAAGCCTTGAAGAAAGGGGCAATGCTGACAGATCTTGCTGTTTCCCATTGATGCCTGAATGTTCTAGTGTGGGGAGCCGAGGCCAGTGTGGGGGACAGACCTCTGTTCCCAGAGGCTCACTGGGGCACTGGCGTTGAGGCTCACTGAGAAAAAGAGCAGGCGAGGGGGGCGGGGAGGGCAAGCAGCTGTGGCCACAGAGGGGAGGCCAGTGGGGGCGTGGGGGCCTCCACAGGCTTCTCTTCTGGCCAGGCTGGGGAGGTCAGCCCAGTGCTGGTCTTTGCCCCGGCAGAGGTGAAGGAAAGGACAGCAGCTGGGGCCCCAAGTGTCAGCACCCTGTCCTGAAGACACTCTGTCGGGGGGTGGGGGGGTGGCGTGTGGGACAAAATAGATACCTTGGGAGAGGAAAATGAAGAAAACATCCCAAATGCTTTTAGGGGATTGAGAGTTTTGACTGTAATAAACAAAACATTTGGGTCTTTGAAAGAGGTCAGAGGATCCTGCTTAGTAAATCCCACGCTATTCCATGGAGTCTCAGGGCAGCGAAGTGCTCTGGCGAGGAAACACAAGAATGAGCTGGTGGCAGACTCAGTGAGGAATCCAGGGGTTGGTCTCAGAGGCTTGAGTCAGCTCCAAAGAGGAGCTGAAGTCAAAGTCACATCCCGACACAGCGGGATGACAGGAGGGGCAGAGTGGCCTCTGGCGCCCAGGGTGTGTTCACATGTGCACTGGGGACAGGCATCTGGAAGGACTGCTTTCAGGCTCATCGCCTGTAGTTGCACCACCCTGAAGGGTGTTACTGAAGACTTACAAGTCACCACAGAGTGACACTCTGGCCTCTTGGAGTGGGCGGGAAGCCCGAGAGTCAGGCCTTGCACATGGAGGCCTGGGAAACTCGGGCGAAGTGGGGACAAGGTTTGAGGAAGCAGTGATTACAAAGAGGCCCATAAACTTCAGGGGATGAGGATGAAATCAGTGTAATTTCCTTAACATAACTTTGATCTCAAAAGTTTTTCATCCAAATGTTCTCTTGACTTCTCCCTGCAGCCTCCAGAGGACAAGGACACAATTCAGCCCCGCGCCTGCCCGCAGAGGAGGGAACCACATTCTTCCAGAGCTGCACGTGCCCCAAACCTCTCTCAGGTTCGAGTTTCCTTTCTCCTCTCCCCCGACCCTGAGAGTGAGAGAGACCTGGACTCAGGGCTGTGGGTCTAGAAACTGGGGGCACGAGTTTGGAGAAACAGATGCTTCGTCGGAATGATCACTTGCAAACATTCTCACGTGTCCCAGGCCCCTGGCTCACCCTTGGTGGGAGGAAGGGGCGCTGAAAGGTGGCTCTTGAGTAGTTAGTGACCTGGCAAGGTCAGCTGTGCCAGGGCTAGGTCTCTGTATGCACGTGAAAGAGGCTCTCACAATGGCCCCCGCGGCCCCCTGTTTTGTACGTACATCTGAGTTACTGGGAAAATTCCCAGGAGCGGCATAGTAAAAAAAAGGTCAACCGCGATGAAGACTTTGCCTTTTATTTCCCTGTTTCATCCAAATTGCTCCCTGGGCGCTTTAGATGTAGAAGCCCCACTAATCAACCTCATAAACAGCAGCCTAGCCACCGCACAGAAATCACTTTGTACAGCTCCTAAGTGAAATTCCCCCAGGGGAGAGAAGATGCCCCGGGCTTTAACAATCACAATATAACACAGCCTCAGTACCAGAACAGAAGACAAATACGCTCCGACATCCCAATTGAAGCTCCCAATTGAAGCTCCCGGCTGAGTCCGACATAGAAGAATGTAATTACCTTTCCTAGTCTGATGGTACACTAAAGAAACTGGAGAAGTGGAATACCTATTAGGTCCCCACTAATCCTCCTTCTAAATTCAAAGCAGGGCTAGTCCGGGGAATTCATTTCTGAGTATTCTTACTCTCCACTATTGTTAACCAGCTCAATTGATAAGTGCTTGCAGCTAATAATGCTTTCTACTGAGCTCACCCCCACCCCTTTCCCAGCCGCTCAAAGCACTTTACAAATATCACCTCATTATTCTTTAAAACACTCAAGTGAGCCTGATAGGTGGGAAGGTTCATTATCTTCTTGCGAATAGGGGAAACAGACAAAGGAAGAAGTGACTCGTTTGTGCCAACAAAGCGCAGGCAGAACGGGAACTAAAACTCAGCATCCTCCTGACTCCAAACGTGCACATGTCCTCTGTCAGCTTGTAAAGCTGCTTTGCTGACAGCGTGATTTTCTAGCTGTGGGCTGTGTTGTAATCAACGGGCACACAGCGCTGGGGCACTGGCTGGAGGGGAAAGGGCAGGAGTCCAGATAGAGAAGCCCCACTTGATGGCCTTAACTAGTTCGGACAAGTCACTTCACCCCTGAGTCTGAGAGTCTCGGAGCCTGGGAAAAGGAGGGGGTCGATGAGAGGATCTTGAAAGTCCCTTCCAGCTCTTAGATAATCAGTGAAGTGTGAGTTTCAAAAGTGGGGCTGGACTTGTCACCAGCTCCTTGGGACGGCCTGGGCTTCATTTCTCTTGTTAAACCTGAAATAGCATCCTTGTCTCCTTATGCTCTGTGTCATCCGTTGTCCACCCACAGGAAAGCGGGGGTCAGATCAGTCAGCGTGAGGTGGGAAATGGAGAAGGGAGTTCTAGGGCATCAAGGCCAAGGACGAGAAAGGCAGACAGGCAAGGAGAAGGAAGGGGGAGAAGCCTGGAAGGGTCATAAAGAGGGGAGCTGGCAAATAACATTGAGCTGGGCCCGGCCCTACCCAGGGGCACTCCCTACATTCCAAGGAACCAGTGATAAGTGCTTCAAAGCATAAAAAGGCCCCAAAGAAACAGGGTTTGCTTGGGTTTTACTAAACACAGAACTTACTTGCCAATCCCAAACCCACGCAAATAATGTCACAATGTACCCTGTAGTGGCAGTTTTCCAATGAAATGGAACTTTATTTCAATAAAATAACATTGATGTGCCTTCAAGTTAATTAAAACCGATTTTACAGGTGGCTTGGTAGTTTAGAATGTGTTGCTTGAACCTGGTGTACCTGAGCCTTTAGAAAACCCAAAGTATCTATGTTCTGTGATCTTTTATACTTTCTTTTCCTAAATGATGCTTTGATATTTTGTTGTCACAATGAGAGCTGGAGAGAGAGCACTTTAGTAAAGTCAACATTTGTTTGTCAGAGAAGCAGCCCCCGCAACCAGAATAATGACCTTGGAAAGAGTTTTGGGTGATGGGCTGATCACAGCAACTGGATATAAAGGACTGACTGTGCCGTTGCCAGAGAGAAACACATTTTTGTAATATCTCAGTTGTTTCTGTTGGCCTGGCCGTCCTTGCTCTCACCATGGAACTGAGTCAACAAGTTTACTTGCTTTTATTTCAGTCATTACAGGGTATTCTTTTCTTTTCCCCCTCTGCATATAGGGGAAAAAGGAGAAAAGAACAGATACTCCCGAAAATCAAAGGTTTGATGATCCAAAACAAAAAAAGTGGGTATAATTTTATTTATTTTCAAGTCCAGCTGTAAAAGCGACTGTTGCAAGCTTTATTCCATCTGCTTTCCCCAAGGACCTCAGCCTGACCTTGTGGAGCCTTCTTTCTGGGAAGTTAAAGAATTTCCAGGATTAGCTCAAGTCCTGAGGCTGCCAACTGTGACCATCTACAAAGCTCTCTTAGGTAATGATTCAGACCCCATTTCTGCTCAAGGCCAAGACAGTCCCTAATGAGTCAGAAATATTCTCATTCCCTGGACCTCGACCAGAAGGCAGATTGACCCCGGAAGAACTGACCTCAGAGGGGCAAGCGCAGTCTCTCTGCACACTGGAGACTCTCTCACCTGTGGTGTCACAAGTGTAACGAAGATTATGAGGTTATCAGAAACAACTTAAAAAACAATACTAGAAGTAAGGAACTGGAGGGAAGGAAGAAGGGAAGAAGGAAGAAAAAATTGAAGGGGAGAAGGGAAGAAGAAATGGAGAGGTGGAGAAGGAGAGAAAGAGAGAAAAAGAAAGAAAACCTCATGAATTTAATATTAACTATCTGCACCACTTGATTCTGGAGGAAGGCACCTCCCACAGTGAGCTTTTAAATTCTCCGCAGGAGGCCAACAGTGATCAGGTAAAATGCTCAAGTCCATCAATCACAAAAGAAAAGCAAGGAAAGAGGAAGAGTGAGTCAGGGCTCTCAGTTTATTGTCAGGAGGAGAAGAGTAAGACTTTAGATGCTCCCAGGATGGCACCAGTTTAAAGTTGTCCGGAAGTCCCCCTAGTCACGCATCAGACACTGTCTTTCCCCAGATCTCCTACACAGTACAGACATTTGCGTAGTTGAGAGAACATCGAAAAAACCTTCCGACTCAATCCTGTGACCTCCTTAGGCCTCAGTCTCCCCCATTTGAAAAATGAGGGAGCAGCACACCCTCCCATCTCAAAGATGCCCTATGCCCTCTGCACAGGGGGGCTCCAGCATTTTCCTCAGCCACAGTGTATTTTCTGTCCTTCAGGTTTCATCCAGTGCTGGTCCCAGGGGTCCCTCCGCTTGACAGTGTCTGAGGAGTCTCAGGTCACAGATTCAAGCTCTGCTGGCCAGGAGGAGTATTTACTTGTCTTCACTCTCACCGAGGAAAGTTAACATCAGAACACAAGTGTTCCAGGCGACCTCACTCAGGAAAACCCAGTGGCGTGTGCCAACAGACACAGTCCGGAGTGGGCAAGGACAAAGGCCTGAATGGGAAGACTTAGCACACAAAACAAAACTGCAACCAGGGAAGCGCTGAGTGTGAACATCTAGGAAATACACAAGTAGGTTTTAAATAAATAACTGGAACTTTAAGGCTGTTTCCACGGTCCCAGACCCACAGTGTAGTTATGACTCATCTCAGCAACAACATCCATGACAATGGGTTTCCACGAAGCTAGCTGAGGAAATTTTAAGAACAATTCCAAGGAACTTTTCATTCAAGGACTCCGAAATGATACGTAAGTATTATTTCTTCTGATACCAAACAGATGTGGGCATGAGACTTTCCATCTGAGAAGGAAGGAACGTTTGCACGGACTTGTCTCAGGTTATAGAGTAAGTGAGGACTTGAGCAGAGACTCCAGCAAGCTGCTCTTAGAGTTGTCTGGATTCCTAATGGGCTCATTGTTCGAATGCCTGGGCTTAGAACAGTGGAGAGAACCATCAGAAGCTTCCCTGGGAAACAGCCCCATTTCGGTGGGGCCTTCCCGGTGACTGGTTGGTCACTCGCTTATCTTCACTCAGAAGTCTTCTGCAAGCCTGACCAGGATGGGCCAAACCTATTAAAATGACTAATACAGATACTGCTGTGTATTCCTGATTTTTTTTTTTAAAGTAAGTTTCCACTTTTCTGTATTACCTTTCGGGTCCATTCAGAATACAGCCTCCTTAAGATAGACTAACGCTTAGAATACTTTGGTAGATCTGATATATTAAACCAAAAAGCAAATGACAAAATTGTATGTATGCTATGGGCTAGTTTTTAAAAACAATTTACATATGCATATACATAGGACAGTGGCTAGAATTATAAACACTGGTATTTTATATTATCTTACTGTAACTGTACTGTAATTTTTATTTTCTTTCTTGGCTATCTATATTTTCTATTGGTTCATACAATAAGATGGATAAATTTATAAACATAAGCTTAAGGAAAGTAAACCAGTACAAAGGAAAACCTACTATATGGCTCCTTGTATAGGAAATTCAGATACAGGCAGGACTGCTCTCTGGTTGTGGGAACCCAGACGGTGGCTGTGTCCGGGGAGGCGGGGAGGGGAGCGACAGGGCCCCTGGGGCACTGAGAATGCTGTTTCCTGATCTGGGTGCTGGCCGCACCTGTGTGTCCTCTGAGAAGGTTCTTGGAGTTGTGCGTTTATGTCATTGAAGGGCCCTAATTTGTGCCTATCAGTCCTTCACACTTCCCTTGATAGCATTGTATTCATGGTAACTCCGGAAATTCAGGTTTTTGTCCAACTCAGGCTCACCGCAGGGGTTGATGGATCAGCCTGGACCACGCAGCCACACGGAGAGGTGCACTTCTGCACCGAGCTTACGCTTGTGAAACAAGCTCCAAGTGGCGAAATCTGCTGGAAAAGATGCTTTGTGGGCCCGGGTCTTGGAACCCCAGGACCTCATGCAAGACCTGGCACAGCACAAGGGCTCAATTCGTATTTTTAAAACGAGTATATAAATCCACTTCTCAAAAGAAGAAACGGTTTACAGCTCCAGTAGAATTTAACATGGGCGGTAAAGGGAAGGGCAGAGGAAGGAGTACAATGATACTGATGTGACTGGCCATATGTGTCCCCGACATCCCTTCCGTTTTCCTCAAGTAAGTCAAGTCAGGCTACTAAGGCCCGGGGATATTTGTGTTGTTCTAGATATTTGGTAAAACCATTAACAATGGTGTTGTCTGATACAATTATAATGCAGCCCACAAATGTAATGGAAAACTTCTAGCCACAGGAAAGAAAGTGAAATAAATTTTAATGTATTTTACTTATGACAACACATCCAAAACATTATCATCTCAACATGTAATCAAATATGAACAGTTTACATTCTTTCCCCCAATGCTAGGTCTCTGAAACCCAGTGTGTGTTTTATGCTTACAGCCCATTCCCAGTGCTTCCTGGCCACATGTCTAGGGGCTACTGGGTCAGCAGGGCAGGTCTGGGAGGACACCTATCTGGTGGAATTTCTTTCAGGAAAAGATGAACGGTGTGTGTGTGTGTGTGTGTAAAGAGAGCTTGAGAGGGACAGAGGGACTGGCCTGATGGTGCTGAGCACCGGTTCCAGCCGCCCCTTCCTTTCTACAGGTATGCCAGTTTCCTTATGAGAATTCCCACTTTCGACATTAGCCACTTCGGGGACGGTTTCTGACATGTGCAGTAACAGCCCCAACTAACAGAGGGAAGCAGAGAGGAGACCTGCCCGTGGGCGCACCCTGCTTTACGGGCCAGGGACTGTCAGAGAGCTGATGCCGAATCAGCACTGCTGAATTCACAAATAAAGTTATTAACAAAAACCCTGTTCCAAAGGGTTTCTGTCACTTGCTGTAGGATGCAATCAATTTGTACATCCCTTTTGAAAGCAAATGAACCCAAGTTTGACTCCAACTTGAAGTACTCCAGGTGCATAGCTGTGAATTCTGAATCAAACAGGAGTTTAATAGGGCACAGGCGCTACAAGTTACCAGGGCACTGTCCATCTGAGACTGCTGCAGTGTAAAAGGAATGGATGTAACAGCTTTTCTATCAGCCAGCATGCCTCCTGCTTCATCTCAGGGTTCGTCTTCCTACCTACACACATTTACTTCAGTGGTCTTCAGTTAAATGCGGAACTGGAATTTGAGGGAATGGGCTAGTGGTTTAACTTCGCTGAGGAAAAAGGAGAAGTCATTCCTGATACCACTGTGACTGAAATGTTGTAAATAAGTCCAGTGTTTGGTATTGCCTTTTTTTAAAAAAGACTTTTTATTTATTTATCTTTAGAGGGGAAGGGAAGGAGAGAGGGAGAGAAACATCAAAGTATGGTTCCCGGAACTGGCCTGTAACCCAGGCATGTGCCCTGACTGGGGATCGAAACTCAATCCTCTGGTTTACAGGCCTGCACTCAATCCACTGAGCTACACCAGCCAGGGTGAGTACTGCCTTTTATTCCACTCTATTAGGTCCAGACATACATGGGACAGGTGAGAGCAAGGAACATACAGTTTCATCTGATTCCAATTTTTTCCATTTCTCGAACCAGTCCTTGGACATCCTAAACTGCTCATGCTGCCACAGTGCATGAGATTTCCTTGCAGGCAGTTTAGCGGCAGTAAGCTGGGAAGCTTACTAAATTCCCACCGCTGGATGGGAAACCACTTCGGGAACTGGGAAGAGAGAGACACTGAATTCCATGAAGGGAAGCCCTGGACTGGCTTTCAAAACCTCCGGTGCTGAAGGCACAGGAGACCCAGTGAGACTGGAGGAAGGGCCAGTGGAGCGCTGGGCCTTACTATCAGGGCAGACAGTAAGAAGGGGCCAAAGAGCAAGCTGTCCGTCATCTCCTGCTGTTCGAATTCCTGGATGAGCCCGGCTTGGGCTGAATGTGGGAGGAAATGTGCAGGACTCACCGCAGCTCCAGCCATCCAGAGAGGGGCGAGATATTTATATTTAGTAGGGGCCTAACAGCAAGGAGAGGAACAGGGGATGGTACGTTATTGCCACATCTGTATGAGTCACAGGCTTGTAAACGCTTTATGTTCTGCAAAGATCCTTCAACATTTGAGTTGGGAACTTCACCCAGTTGTCTATGGAGCTGTGCCTGATGTGCCCTGGTGGAAGGTGAAGGAGGTCAGAAAACCCTTAACCCCTAAGACTCGAATTTCCTGCTCGTCATAAGGAGTGGGAGAGAGGCTTCCCAGACAGAGCCCCAGCAGGAAAGCAGGACTCCTGGGTTCTGGCAGTAGCTTGTGTGTGGCCTCATGCAAGAGCCTGCTTTTATCTCGGTGTTTCCATTTATAAAAGGGGACAACAATAACTAACTTGAAAAGGAAATTGCCCGAGATGCTGATGAGAGCACATCTGAGGAACCTGCAAACTTTGGAAAGAGTGCTGAGGAAACAGAGCAGATGACATGATTAAGGGACCCCCTAATATGACCACAGTAATGGGCCGAAAGCACAGATTCCGGAGCCCAGCCTTGAGTTTCGATTGTTGGCTCTGCCACTCATTAGCTGTTTGCCTTTGAACCAGCTGCTTAACCTCTTGGTGCCTCAGTTTCCTCATCTGTAAATCAGAGATAGTAATAGTACCTACCAGTGTGTGGCACTTACACAAATACCAGCCAACTTTACTATTAATGAGAAATTTACATTATCATCCTTTAAGTTAGAAAAGACTTCATCAATGTCTAGTCCCTTTCAGAAAACACCCATTCATGGATGAGAAAACCAAGGGCCAGAGATGTCCAAAGAAGCCAGCAGAAACGATTTGCATATCCTGGCCAGCTCATCAGCAGACAATGACATCTCTGAGCAACTGTTCCTGGAAAGTGACATAAGTGTCATCATCGGATGATTTGTATGCTAGACTAGGACCAGAGGTAAGACGTGTCCCTCTGGGTACAGTCCTGGGAGACACATTAGGCCTTAGTCATTCTCAGCTGCCCGGTGGGCCTTTCTAAGAGACATGGAGAGCATGGGCAGCACTTGGTTGGTGGTAAATGTTTAAGGTGGTCAACCTGAGACTGCCAGTGACCTTGAAGGCAAGTAACTGAGAGGAAGGGAGGAAGGGAGTGCTACACCGATAGAGAGATTTCTGGAAGAAAGAGCTTAGTCCAGAGGTTTGCATTTCTGTTGTGAGGGCTGGGGAAGCTTCACCTCGACGCGATGCAGCCGGGGAGGGTAGCAGGCCTGGCAAGCTGCCCGCTGCAGAAAGGCTGCGGCCCAGCTGACGGGACAGTGAGCCTGCGATTCCCTGGAGATCCGGATCAAGCTCATAGCCAGGGGAAGTGCGGATTAACACAATGTGGTGTCCGAGCTAATGAGTTAGCAAAACAGAGACAGATGGCAATTGCGGTAACTTAACTCGCCCATCTCTGTTTGCAGTGCACCCCCACAAGCGTCTCCTCTGTCCTTGCGCTATCCAACCCTGCCCAGCCCTCTCCGTCCATCCTGGAAGATCATGGTCACAGAAAAATTATCCTGCATGAAAAGGAGCTATAAAACTGCTTTCTAAACATGACTGTCATGTGCCAGCGGGGCCCAGCGATGGGTAGGAGGTCTTTCAGACGCCTGGGGGAGATGCTGACCTCTGGTTCTAGAGGAAAAGCAAAGTTCTCTTTATCGAACTGCTGTTTTATCCTTGAGATATATGATTGCTTACAAGGGGTACAGCTGCACACGAGAATGCTAAGAGGGGGTGTAACACAAAGAGGGAACCTTTACTCTGACCCTGAAACAAGTTTTCTGTAGTCAGAACTCTAAGCTGTGGAGTGGGTTCCTTCACAGGCACTAACCACCAGGAGTAAGTGATCTAGTGCATGCGTAGGGTGGACACGTCAGTCTCGCCGCCCTGGGGGGCAAACCACAGCTTCACAAGTCACCTGCCACCCTGTGCCTCTTCCAGGGGCTGCTCTGCTGCTTTTCCAATGGTGGTTCTTTCCAGGTGGCATTACCGCGCCAGCTGCTCGGAGGCTCACCTAGCACCGAGGTCAGCCAGGACAGAGCTCTACGGGAAAATCCTGCCTGAAACTTTTGAAAATTGGTTCATTTTTTAAAAATAATAGAAGTCTCTTTCATAATAAAATTCTAACCATGTAAACAACAGAAGACTTTCCGGGAAAAAAGGAGGTTTAAGAGGATTCCCGATTCATGCAGGTTTATTTTTCCCCTATTCTACCTCGTTATTTCATTCGATATAGTCATACAAAACCTTAAAAATTAGGTTAAACTCCATTGATGCAAGTGGGTTTTGCTTTTGCAAGGTGAAAAGCTGACTAATGCGAAGACACTTAAGTGACTGCTGAAGGAGCCAACAGGATGTGCACCCAGGCAGGGATACTGAGAGAGCAGCCTGTGAGTGGAGGTCTACTCCTCATTCTCACGCACCCCCCTAAACTTCCCCACCCAGTGACCCTCGTGGGCACTACCTGCCCACGACCTCTGTCTTCTTAGAACAGTGCCATGGCAATGACACCGAGAATAAGAGCTCAGCCGTAAGAATTTGCCGCTCACCAGCTGGCAGGGTCAACTTTAGACCAAAGGATGTTTGGGGAAATATTTATATTCTTCTCTGATCACATGCCTGATAATAAGGGGCAACAAAATGAACTGGTGGGAAACTTGAACAGAGAGTGTGGAGAGTAACATTGTAAGGGAAACAGAAACAATCTTCCTGAAAGTGGAAGTTCATTGTGGAACCCACTTTCCAAGCCTAAGGGTCAGCCGCCTGTCATGGGAAGTAGCCAGGCACGACCCCTTGTTGAAAGAGGGCAGCAGCCTGAAGGAGTGAAGCTGGTAACTGACTGACATCTAGTTTGGTGACCTTCCTCCAGTGTGTATATCTGGGCTGCGTTTACAGCAGAGGGTTCTTAACCTCAGCACTGTCGGCAGTTTGAGCTGGATGAGTCTTGCTTGTGGGGGCTTCTTCTGCATTGTAGGCTGCTTAGCGGTGTCCCTGGGTAGAAGGCCAGTGGCATTTCCCTCTGGTTAGCAACCAAAATGATATTGCCAAATGTCCCCGGAACGGCCACATCGCCCAGGAATGAGAACCACGGATCCACTAGCTAGTGATTCTGAAAAAGTGAAAATGAGAGACGCCATAATCTTTCGGTTGCTACTTTGAAAAGCTAACTAATGACTTGCACAATATATTCCCATCCTGCTTAATGAGGGTCCAGCTCACAGGTATCCAAAGGCATGAAAATACTAAAGGGGAATTAGCACCAAATGACAGGAGGCACTGGTTCTTTCCAATGGAGAAAAATTTAAGAGCAAATTAAGAACTAATGATTTTCCCCCAATTTGGTTTCTTATCTGGACACGGATCAGTGTAAACTAAACGACCATAATGAATGTGAACAAGGCCGATGTCTGGAAGGGCAGCGGTCCAAGTCAGAGACCGGCAGGGCTGGGCCCAGCGGGCCAGTCACATGATGGCGATTCCTTTTCTCCACTTGTCCCCACGAGTCCTTTCAGCTCCAACCATGCCACCTTCATGTCCCAGGAAGCTATCAGTAGGATATGTCTTCAAACTGCTGTTTTAGAGTAAACAGGGGACTTCTGTACTGGTCCAATCAGTGAGGTGGCTTGTCCAAGTTAATGCCAGATAAAGGAATACGGCCTCGTAATCTTAATTTTCTTAGCACCGGTGAGCAAATCAACTCTAGTGAGCAGAATCTAAAGAGGACTTAGTTCTGAGTCCTTATAGGGACATTCTGTCTTTTCATCCAGATTTAGCAGAATGCCCGACAAAGGATCATCTGGAACAGCTTTTCTGTTGATGAATGAATGAAGAAATGGTTTTAGAGCTGGCGTACAGGGAAAATGTACTCTATGGCTTTTAAACAGAAATTCACCATGATCAATTTAGGGGAATTAGAAAAGACATCAGTATTTCTTTAAGTGAAGGTCACATTAGTAAAATCCTTCAAAGAAATAGGTAAAAACAGATTCCCAGGGATGCCTACCAGGCTAAGTGGACAGACTGGCACGCCGGTGAGCCAGATTCCAACCAGCTCGCTTGCTGAGTGATCCTGAAAATCACTTGTTGTCAATGGGATATGGTTTTGTTGTTCAAAATAAGAGACCATTTCCTGCAGCTAAATTTGGCGATTGATCGGATAAAGACAGGAGAGTATATAGGAAAATTGGGAAAAGTGAGGGATTTAGAATAAACACCAAACCCCGGGGACCCTGAGACTGCCACGGAAGGCTTGGGCTTCCGTTCCCCCTGCGGTGACAGGGGTGGCAGGCCAGCCCACTTCCTGAGGCAGTGATGGCACAGACACGGCCCAGAGACCTGGCTTTCCTCTGCTTCTTTTTCAATGGATAACTCTCACTGAGGCTGATGGAGCCAGTGATCCCTCCCCCATTCCCCACACCACCTCTCTGTGGGGAATTCTAATATGATTAAATACTCTTAATTACACACACACACACTGACGTCCTGAGGAAACTGATGAAAACTACCTGGCAGAAAGCAGGGGTGTGTATTTACTCTAACCATCTGGGGCCTGCTGGGGCACTAACCGCGGTCCTTGGCTTTGACTCCCCAAGTGAGATGTCATTTCGAGACCATGTGTGTGGTCAGTTCATCATGTGTGTTTCACTTTGGCTGGGTGAACACGCTCTGCAATTTCACTTTGGTCCCCTCGCATTCTTAGCTTTTCAAGATGACCAAAATCCCCTGTCAGAGAGGAACAAGTGGGAGGGGAAGCAGCCTCTTTGTGGGCCCAGCAGAGTCGGGCAATACTACAGAGTTCCCAGAAGTTACTTAGAAGCATGCTGGAAGCACAAGAATATCTCCAGAACCCCAGAGCTTTGAGAAAGTGACAATTTCAGAGAATGACAGTGAAATAAAAGCCTGAAATTTCAGAAGGTGGTTCCAGGGACAACGAGTATATAAAAATAAAGTCGAATGACTTTTTCCAGGCAATCCACTCTCATAGATAATGCAGTCAAATGATAATAACTAGCATTAGGGATACGTGATACACAAAATATGTTAGAGACACCACAGTCACCGCCGACCTCGGAAGAGGGTGAGTGGGCCCTTTGTGAGCAGGAGCCCCCCTTTTCTCCCTGCTGTGAATCGGTGACACCCACGGGAGCCAAGTTCACCAGACCAGCACGAGCTGCCTTGATTAAAATGTGATGTCTCTGGTCACTAATAGTTCTCTTGGGAAGTGAAGGGAAAGTAGCCAAACCACACTATGGAAGGAGCAGACAAAACATCTCTTCCCTTTCCACTCGTTCAGACATACCTGACCACAGAAACTGTCTGCCCCCCAACTTTCGCCTCTCCATCGCGACCTTTGAACTTGATGGCGTTTATCTGCCTTTCCACTCACTCTCGCACACCTCCGTCTTTCCTGTCCTCTCCCATGGTGGCAGCGAATATTCCCGTCAGCTCCAGGAAGACGGAGTGACACCATTTTCCCTGTCTGCTGTGAGGCCTGGGAGACCGATCACAGCAGGAAGGTCAGCGAAGCCGGCGAGGGGACGTCCTCCGCCGGCCGACAGTGTACCTCTCTCTCGGCAGTTCCGTTCTTTTCTCCTTAAAGCACCTGGCAGTCTTGGAGCAAATCAAGACTTAGAACTTGAAACAACATGTTGGCATAAATCCGTGCAGCAAAAATCACCTCCAGTGTAAAGACTGTAACTGGAGGGATGATTTTGGGGAGCTTACTCATTTACTCACTCATTATCCAATAAAGATTTATTGAATAACTTCCGTGTCTCAGGAAATGGGCTGGGTGGGACCAGCTAGGTCTTTTAATAACTAACGGCATGTGACTAAAGTCAGGGTGAGCAAGCCTGACAGAGTCGGCCTACGCATGAACGAGGAGCTCCACTTACACAGTGCAGCAACACAATGTGGCAAATAGCTAGTCGTTCTGTGCACGTTGCTGCTACTGGATGAGAAGCATTGTTGGGAAGAACAGATAAACTAAGTCAGAAGATAGGAGGTGCCATCTCTGGGCCTGAATGTCTTGATCTGTAAAACGGCAGCCACTCAACTGGCTTCATTTACCAAAGACACTGCAGAGAGAACTGAAAGATATCATGTACATGGAAGAAAGCACTCTGAATACTATAGAAGCGGAATGCACACATAAACTACCGTTATGATGACTTGATCTTGAGCACGCTGGTAAGGGAAGCGCATCTCTTCACTTTAACTGACCCAGAAGCCTTTAGAGAAGAAGGTGGTCTCTATCAGCTTAGTCACCAATGAATGAAATCATCTGAGTCTTAGAGGGAAAGGGAAGTAGCTATTGGGGGAAACATGCTCTTCATAAATTAACATAGAGTAACTGAAAGCAGAAACTATTTTGGTTATGAAACAAAGGAAGCCCATATGCTAAAAGACTTAAATATACAGGGTAATCCAAAAGTAATTAGGCCGAGTAGTATGAGGGTAAGAAAGTTAAAGCTAATATTTTGTTCCCACCTCTACAACCAGTTTATGAATATATGGAAACAGTCCGGTGTTTCTCAAGCTGGAGTGACAAACAGACTCCTTTCAAAGGGGGACATAATTTGAGACATCTAAAACATGTATAAAAACCTCTAGGAGACCTTAGACCGAGTTTCAGAATCAGCAAATAAGGAAACTTAAAGTTTATTTTAGGAAAACATCTTTTGATTGCAAAGTATCGTCTTTATAATAAAAAAGTCTTTGAAATAAAAACATAAAATATTAAAAATCACATAGAACTTGCAGACCTCAAGTATCCACAGCCCCCAGTTTGAGAAATTTTGATTTTTGCCTCACCCCTTCAAGGAGACAAAGGGACTACCCTAAGCCACACAGATGGCTGTTAGCAAAAGCAAGCCACACACCCAGGTCGCCTGATTTCCTAGAGCAGAGTTTTTCCTCCTTTAGACAAGGCCTCCTCTGTTTGTGGCAGAGCTCACTATCTGCTCCAGACAGACAGTGGTACTGGGTCAGCCCAGAGACAGGGAAGCAGATGGGGCGGGAATGCCGAGAGGGGAGGTGGTGTGGGTGTGGCTGACACAGAACCCCACTGCCGCTGGGCGGGCAATCAGTAAGAGAGACATTTCCAAGGCTGGGTTCTTCTGCCCACCATTGAAATAAAAATACTTTGGGTAGAAAACACAAGCAGTTTTAACAGCAGTAGCATTTCTGCTGAACAAGTTTGGGCAGAAAAGTAGGAAGAATATTGTCTTGAGCTAAAAAACTGGGGAGGAATTGCAGAAGGTATGAGGTTATAATTCAGGGTGGCCAATTTAATCAGCTCATATTCATTAAACACCCACAAACACATGGTGCTTTACAACAAACCCCTTTCCTACTCGGAAGCATCCACAGGCCTGTTTTAAACGGGCCACCCTGTACATGTTGGGACTCTGGCCAAGTGTTAAGGCAACTGCTTCCCTTCCTAAGAAAAATAGGGTAGATTTTTAGACAACCACAAGTAAAGGTTAGAGCCTCCGGTTTTACATCCCATCTGAAAACTGGGAAAAATTTGGGAAATCTTTTTTCCAAGAATCTGTTTGAAAAACTCTATACATGAAACCTTCTATTTCAGACCAGTAATATCCTATACTATCTACATTCCCAGACTTTTACCCTGCAATTTCCCTGGATGCAGTTCCCCTCCTTATTGGAGCTGAACTCAAGTGCTTTATGAATAGTCCCACATAATGACTGAAGCATTATGACCCTTGAGTTATGTATAATTAGCCAATCAATGATTTTGGTCACTTCCGGCCCTTGGATAATGAACTCATTGTAACTACAGAAAGCATGTTCTTACCACTGCCTGTTTAAACTGCCAAGAATATTTTCAGCCTTACTGATTTATCAAGAGACTTTTTATCGCTATCTGATGAGAGGACTGACTGGGCCTGCTCTCTTGACATGCCCCGGGAGGTTGGCCCCTCAAGAATACCAGGGTGCAATAGCGCCACAGGTCATCCCACTTGGGTCCCTGCCCAGCTGCGCTGGCAGGTGCTGTGACTTTTCCAACATATCTATGACACTTCCAAAGACTGTGACCTGTCCAGGAGGGCATTGGATTATTAGGAAAGACTAAACAATTGCCCTCACATCAGACTGGTCTCCGATAACTTCCTCTTTCTTGAATGATGAGAGCCACTAGAACACCCGGCTCAGGACAAGACTCAAGACATTCTAATTATAGCTTAGAATACAAGCACACAGCAGGCATCTGACTGACCATCACAGGTGATTTCTAGTTTTTAACTTGAGTTAGGTTAAAGGAGCGGTTTAGGAGAGTGAGATGGACAAGATGTAGAAGATGCACAAAGCGAGACAGAACGGCTCATTTGCAGTGGCTCTCCACGTCTCCCATGAGATGAGCAGAGAGAAGTGGGCATCTTTCAGGGCAGCTAGCTGGACAATAATAAGATCTTTACAGTAATGAGTCTACTTTAATAATACCCTTGCTTTTTACAACATCCTCAGGTGGTCCTAACAGCTTTGCCTTGGGTATGGATAAAATAAGTAACAGGCGACCGATTTGGCATGTTCCCCTAGTTCGGAAGTAAGTCTGGGGCTCCTAGGTCCCTAGGAGTCCCCAAGATTAAGAAACAGAACATTATCAATATTCTGGAAGCCTCTGGTATAATCCCTCCCCAAGAGCAGCATCATCTTTCTCCCACCCAGAGTTAACCCTTTATTCGAAACTTGGTGATTTTTTAAAAATTGGTTTGAGAGAAAGAGAGAGAGAGAGAGAGAGAGAGAGAGAGAGAGAGAGATCAGTTTGTTGTTCCACTAACTTATGC